ATGGAAGGTTAAAGTGAGACTGGACGTTTTCCACTTTATGAGACGATTCAACACTGGTCTCACAACAGAACACCATCCTTTCTATGGTGTTTTCTGTTCAAAGTTATCTTCTTGTATTTTTGAGTGGGACCAGCATGACATCTGCCGTCTCAAGGACGCAAAGAGGTCAGACATGAAGAAAAAGCATGCTGGTCTTGCTCCAACAGAAGCACAAGTTCTGGCCAGTATCACCTCCAGTGAACTAGCCAGGCATTGCAGAAGGAGAACTGGTGGGGTTGAAAACACCCGTAGCCTGATCCAAGAATTGTTGAAATCCATGTGGGATCTGACTGACACTTCAGATTTACGCCTGATAAACCCTGAGAGCATGACACATGTGTGGGAGGTGCAACAGAAGCATTTGCCATGCATCCAAGACCCACCAGGTGTCGAACTACTGTATACACCAAACTTGGCTCAGGGTTGCAAAAAGGAGACAAGGTCCTAGACATCTTGAGATGCGGCAAAGGGTCATCTTCTCTGGAGAGTTTTCATCGCCACCAGTGCACCTTTATCCCAGGTAATTAGAAATTATAACTCTTTGACATAATTTCTATCCTTTACATGTCTGTCATTAAATTATGCTCATAAAAAAACAAAGTCTACTAAGTATCAAGTTTGTGAGACTTAATAGTAGTCATCACTTAATAAATACAAACAATATTTCAATAATCTCAAATGTCATTTTGTTTCTAAAGGATGGAGATGTAATTGTAACCCCTGACTCACGTTAAGTAGTCTAGGACAAGCCAAAAGTATAGACCAGTTGCTAGGTTCGACAGGATTACAACAGGATCCGAGGTGAATGCAGAATGAAATGGCTGGAGGCAGGAAATGAGCAAGAATAATAGTTATTTTGTAGAAAAGTAAAGAAATAAAATAAGATACCATTTAACAATTTCAACAATAACAATAAGCCGGCATAACAAAAGAAACAGCCCAATATTTCAGTTCGTCCTTTTGGTCATTAGTCAAATCAAAAATTCCTGTGTAGTGCAGTTATTTTTTTCCCTCTTTTGTTTTTGGTTTAGTGATTTGAGTTGTTACCACTTTGGTGTTTCTCTGGAGAGAAGAATGAAGTTCTTCGAACCAGGGTTCAGTTCAGTTCTGGGCACAGGCTCGCCATCTCCATCTGGAGAGAATACAGCCCAGATAGCAGCGGACTGCGGGGCGGATCTGCCCTCAAGTCGGCAGATCCGCCCGACAGTCGCATTCATTTTTATTAACCTGCCAGAGTGAGGCCCCGCCCACAGAAAACACCCAGTCCAAACACGGACTCGTTACAGAGGCTGGGCGGATCAACACACCTAACGCGCGTTTTTCATTTTGAAGCTTCGCTGAAGATTCATCTGCAGGCACAAACGCAGTGAAGTAAATGCCGTTAAATATACTTAAAGTTACTTAATTATTACTTAAATAACTTAACTAAACGTAACATCAACTTCATTAAAATACATTTTAAAAGCTCAAATTGGTAAATGGGCCGCTACATTATCAGACAGGTACGTTAACGCTAACATAATTGGCTAAGGGGGGGTAGCTGAATCTCTGTGAGGAGGAATTGGGTATCGTGACCGCTCCGAAACTGCATGGGATCAGCCACAGATTGTGGCGGTAATAATTAAACAACTGAACACGACTTTTTGCTTTAAAATTTGTTTAAAAATGTAAGTTAATTTACGTACAGTGTGGTAAACTGGTCGTGATTTAGCACATTAGCCTGAAATATATCAAACGGTGCTGCTAGCATTCCTTGACGTACAACATGAACATGTCTTTTGTGTTGTATTTCTTATAGATAAAAAGAATAGGAAGACTGTGCCTGTGTCCCGCTCCACATTAAGACGAAGGACCCGTATAGACATAGATAAACGACTTAAACAAATTAGGGGTGACTGCGCAAATTTGACTAACGTAAAAAAGACTATGGAGATTTCAAGGCATGCCATAAGATGGTTTAATCTTGCTGCTGATAGGAGCACCGGGAGGCGTGGCAGCGTTCCTCAAAATGTCTGAGTGCCCAGTGATTGTTTTTGTTGTTAAAATAAAGCTATGTTATATAAGTTTAAATATGAAGTTCTGATTCTTAAATAAATTATGTTTGTACAATTTGAAGTCTCATTTTTTAAATGAATCAATATATTGAACATAAGAACATAAGAACATAAGAAC